ACAGGGTGACTTCGAAGTTGAGTCATTTATTTTAACAGTGAGTAGATCTGATCAAAAGAAATGTTTTTTCCTTTACCATTTTTGTGATAAAATTAAAGTAACAAAGTTATAGCCCTTTGGAAGTTTGAGTACCGCCCTGTCTCAATATCATGTGCTCGTGTTTGGCAACAACGGATATAATCCACCTTACCGGTTCATCGCATCGGAAACAAAAAAGCGAAAGAATTTGGAACGATGTTTGTACAATCTTTATTTTATTCAGTTCAATTATACATACAGTCAGTGTCAGTCGCGTGTGAATAGTGTCTGTTGCGTGGCTCAAACGAAAGAAAAAATGACACATGTTTATGCGGATCGGTTTCCCAATCGAGTGCAACCAACCCCTCGTGCCTTTGTTAATGTAGTACAATGGGCTCGTGAATCAGGTGACTTAAGACCTCACAGGGGACCTCACGATCAAATACAGGTCCGCACTGAAATACTTGTCGGGAGGATACTTTATAAAACAAGGTAAAAAATTTTTTTTTATTTTTACACACATATTTTGGTTTATCTTCCTTCTACAATCATTATCTGAAAATTAATGACTCAACTTCAAAGTCACCCTGTATAATGCCTTGGACCTCAGTTTAAGAGAAACCTATTGCTCAAATGCAAGAAAAAAATTAAAGAAATTCTAATTGATCAGCAGCGAAATCTTTTGTAGTCTTAACCGACCTTATATTTTCTTTACGCCTATATATCAAGTACGCTTTATCATTATCGTTTTATGGTTTGTTCGTACAGTAGTCGGTGAATGTCAAAATCAGAATTTGAGAGATGTTAACTGTTCGTACAGTTTTTGACTGTTTGCCGACAGGTAATCCGCTGTTCGTACAGAACCTTCTGAGAACCAACATTGCTTCGCAAATTAACCAAGGGCAAAGGTTCTAAGGACCGCTCTGACAGACAATGACGAATAGAATTGCTTGGCAAACGGCATTGAATGATCGATTACTTTTCTCTAATGGACGGTCTGGGGGCACTTTCGCACCGATGGACGTTTCTGTCGCCGTGCGATATGCCTGCCTGACTTCGGCCTCCTATGTGTCGAACTTCGTACGTCCAGAACTGGCCCATATGACTGCTCATTTGTCCCGAGGGTGTCGAGATCGTGTAACAATCTACATGAGGAGCTTTTCTCAGTTCTACTAACTTTAGGCAGTTCAAAAATAGGAGTAACAAAGTTTATTTAAGCTCCTCAATGCAGCCGCGGTGCCCTGGCATGAAGGCCTCACCTGCACGGCTGCTTCGGTGTAAAAAAAACTGAGCAATATACCAAGAAGATGAAGACCTTGAAGATCTACTGGAGGAGAGAATGGAACCCAAAACCCACAATTCAACAGCAACAAGTTTTTGTAACATTTTCGGCTGAGCAAGTGGCAGAAGAAATTTTAATGAAATTCCATTTTAAATATCAGCCAGCGCCAAAGTGCGTTGTGATCAGTATTTTGTTTATCAACCTGGTAATGGCAAAATGAAGATTAAAATTCAGTATGAAACATCCGGACAACAGAGGACATAACTTTCAAGAACTATCATTAATACGATTTTTGTGATCACTAATCTCTTGAAATGTTTTGTTACAGTTACAAAATGCGAAACTACGCGATTTTAGTCTCACTTCTATGTATACTAAGTGACATATAAACCCGAACACCCAGTTTAAGTGGTTCTATTTTAATAAAATTTTGTATAAGTACTTAATGCACCATAATAAGTAAATGATAAAAATTTCAAAATGATTGCACTGCTTTAAAGCCCTTTGACCTTTAATAATGTGTGGATGCTCCCTGATGTGCTACGCATTCTCCAACGCGCCTAGGCATGCTTCTGATCAGGTGGTCAATGTCCTCCTGTGGTATCTCATTCCAGGCAACCACCAACTCCTCTCGAACTGCTTCTAGAGTCTGAGGAGGACGTTGCAAATTGAGCAATCTCCTACCCATCATATCCCACACATGCTCAATTGGGGATAAGTCGGGAGATCTTGGTGGCCATGGTAACAATGTGACATCATTATGTTGAAAGAAGTCTATTGTGACTCTTGCAACATGTGGTCGGGCATTATCTTGTTGGAAAGTTGGATCTGCCAGGGTGTCAAGATAGGGTAAAAGATGGGGTTCTAGAACTTCGTGGATATAACGCTGCGCGTTCATGTTACCTCTGATGAAGATTAAAGGTGACCTGGAACCATAAGCTATAGCACCCCAAACCATAACTCCAACAGTGTGATGAACATGTCTTTCAACAAAAAACTGTGGATTCCTCCTTTCACCACGTCGCCTTCTAACCCTGGCACGACCATCGTGCATGCCTAAACAAAATCGAGACTCGTCACTAAAGACAATACTGTTCCATTCCTGATCCCAGAGTCACCGTTGTCTGCACCACTCAAGGCAATTACGTCGGTGTTCTCGAGTTAAAAGGAGGACCCAGTGTGGCCAGTATGAAAACAAGCCAAAACTTCTCATTCGTCGGTAAACACTTCGCATGCCAATAGGTCTTCCGTGTTCTGCAAACCATTCATTTGCAATGGACCTGGTAGTGGAGAAACGGTCCCTTAAGGCCAATAATCTTACGCGGCGATCTTCACGGTCTGTTGTTCTATGGCGGCGCCCAGTGCCCCTTGCTCTTTGCGTACGGTTTTCTCGAAGCCATGCCTGACAACACCTAACCACAGTGTCTACACTTCTTTGCACTCTAACTGCAATTGCCCGAAAAGAAAGTCCAGCTTCCCGAAGTCCCACTATACGGCCCCTATCAAACTCACTAAGTTGACGAAATCGTACAGGTCTCCATACTCTAGGCATCGTAACAGATCGTAAAGGATATCAAGAACCAAAATCCGCCAACGTTGATTCTTTACTGCGGCTGAAATATTTATTTTTAGAGCGTTAGTGAATTAAAAAAAGCAGTATAAAAACCGGAATGTCCAACTGATAAGGCTGAAAATCTTTTCACTTGTTATTTACAGTAAGATAAATACATTCACCAACTTTTATTAAAATAAAACCATTTAAACTGGGTGTTCGGATTTATATGTCACTTAGTATATTTTCGTAATGTCAGTTCTTTTTGTCTATGTTGGGAATTCTGTGAAATATAGCAATGTAAGCGGATCTTGAGAATTGTATTCAGCTGTTTTAGCTTTTTAGTGTATAACACCCTTTGTTATTCAAAGACGTTATTAAATCGTTGTAGCATTTTTACTTCCTTCTTTTAGTGAGAGTCTGCATATACAGGGTGTTTCTAATTCGACACTCACCATTGGGATCTTGGAAACCGTAAGGGATACGAAGTCGCTTAAATTCCCACTTAGAAAGTTTCAAAATTCAAGGTACTTCCGGAGAGTGACATAAAAATTAAAATTTCCCAAAATCATTTTGATTTTTCCCTGACTTTATTCATATAGGGATTTTAAAATAAATTGCACATTAACATTACCGCGTTGTCTCCTCTATAAGAAGGCATAATCAGAATTGCAACTTTATTATTTCTTAAGGACGCTATATTGTATTTTTGCACAGATAAATAGAGATTTTAATTTTGATTAAAAAATGCATAATACGTCATACATTGACGTTGCCAAACCTCAGTCACTTGAAAAAACAGAATTTCTTAAGAAGGCTTTGAAATTATCAGATATTTTTTCGCTCATCAGATTTATCCCAAATCGCTTTATTTTTTTCCTGAGTTTATATGAGATGGGATTTCAAAATAATTGAATATTGTCATTGTTACTTATTCTCGGCTACAAGATTGCGTAGTCAAATTTTCAATTCGACATTTCTTCTTTCGACTTCCATCGTCAACTGTTTTTCCTTACTTAAACTATATTGAAATTTTGTACATTTAAATGGATATTTCATCCCTAAATTCAGTGATGTATTTCGTTAAATATTTTGTTTGATGAAATTTATAAGGAAATAAAAAGATATAGTGTAACCTGAACACGAAATGAAAATGCTAATGATGGTAATAACAATAATAACCATGAATAAAAAGATGTCTTCACAGTCTTCCAAACTCTGTTGCTATGCAAACAAATGAAATCTGATAATTTCAGGGTCTACCTAGGAACTTCTGGAATAACTAAGGTTTTGCAATGGGAATCTACGACATATGGGTGTTTATCTGAAATCTGGTTAACTTGGTGTTAGCATGAATTTTCACAATATTAAAAAATATATATCCTATATCTGAAACTACTAAGCGGTATTTTATAGTCTATTTAGTTCGGTCACCAATTTTGATAAATATCATAATATTCTTTATTTCAATAAATTGACATTTTTTACTCCAAATATCATATAAGATCTCCCAAATTTAGTATTCACGTCACTGTAATCTTATTGTATTAAATAATAATTTGATGAAACTCTATTTAAATTTGTTTACTATTACATTGCTTACAATGTCATTGCGATTTAATGTATAAAATAATTTTGTTTGATCACATTATTTCAAGTCAAAAAGTGTAAGCGATAAAAAATATCAGGCCCTAGTCATTAACGAAATTCAAAAATACGCGGCGTTAAAACATATGCCTTATTCATAACTCACTCAATACGGTAGCATCGGTGTGTAGTTGGTTGCAAACACGAGCCAAGCCGCGGCAGCAATTTTGCTATTAGTGTGGTAACCGACTTTGCTGCGGAAACACGTGCTGTGCCAGTCAAACTCTCAGGCCCTAGGTAAGTCGTTTTAAACATATATAATTACTCATTGATCTCATTACTTATTGAATGTATGAGCTAGGTCTGCTTTGTTATTTTGACCGCCTATTGATTTTATAGTGATTTAAAATAATAGCTTTCATTTGATTTTGCTTCGTTTCGTCAGTCCCTAGACCGTCAGGCCCTAGTCGTAATAGTGACTAGGGCCTGATGCCACATCTAGGGACTGATGATCATACTGTGTGATGCATAGTTTTAATCATAATAATGTATTTGTTGTAGAATATGGCGCCTATAAAGAAAAAACATTGTCTAAAGAGGAAATTGCTAAAAAAAGTCTGAACAGGCAAAGAGGCGATTGGAAAAAATTAAAAATGATCCTGTTTTGCTGGCGGAGTACAAAGAAAAGGAACGACTAAAATATCTAAAGGAAAAGGAAAAAGGACAACGGAAGTGTGTAAAAGACATGACTCCCCGTGAGCACAGAAAGGCAAGAAAAAATTGGGTAGCCAATTCATCGGATTATAGAAAAAAAACAAAAGATTCGTGACAATACAGATAAATACGTGGACCAAAATACGCCGCCATCATCGGAAGATGAAATTATTCCTGAGGCTCCTTTATTAAATAATGAAAGAGAAGCTGAAGCTAGAAGGAGGAGTACTGTTCAACGGAGAAAAAGAAATAGTATGTTGAAGAGGAAGGACTTACTCATTGAAAATTTAAAGAAGAAACTTGCCAGCGAACAACAAAGAAACAGAAGACTGAAACATAGAATGATAGAAGCAAGCACTGACACCAGAAAGTAAAATTGTAGAAATGGCCAACGATCCCAATCAAAAAGCAGAATTGATAAAAAAAGCGTTATTTGGCGATATTATTCAAAGGAAAATTTTAGATAAAGAGATTCAGACACCCAAAACAAAAACCTGCTTAAAAACGATTTTGTCAAGTCCACTGACACATAAATATGAAATATGGAGACTTGGAAACACAGCCATTACATATAAAAAGATGGTATTTAATCGTACAAAATATGAAGATATGCGAAAAAAAAAAGAGAGTTGAAGAAATTATACACAAGTTTTATGAAGATGACAATAATAGTCGTTGTGCGGCAGGAAAAAACGAGTGCATCACTCGCAAAAAAATTAAAAAACAAAAAAGATATTTGCTGGATTCCTTGAAGAGCTTGTATCAAAAATTTCACAATACGAGTTTGATGAAAATTGGGTATAATTATTTTTGCAAATTGCGTCCATTTTGGGTTGTTGTGCCTAAGCTTACAGACCGTGATACCTGTGCTTGTGTTATTCATGAAAACATCAATTTGAAGTTAGGTGCCTTGAAAAATGCAAACGTTCTTGACTTTGCCACATATCAAACTGCACTGGAAACAATTTGCCGTGATCGTTACTCGGAAAAATGCTTAGCGAGAACTTGCCAGGACTGCTCATTGAAGATTTTACCATATAAGGAGTTTGATAATAGTAAGGACATGGCAGTCAAACAATGGAAGCATAGCAAGGAATTGATTAAGGACATTAAAACTAAACAGGATAGATACGTCACAAAGTATAAGGAAGAGATATGCAATTCAAAACCTCGTGATTTAGTTATGCAATTAGAAGAGAGTGATCTTCCAAAATTATTCCAACATGAACAGAACATCGTTCATCAATATAAAACTATTAAATCTTTGAAAGAGTCACATACAGAAAAGGATGCAGTAATTCACATGGACTTCTCAGAAAACTACACAACTAAATGCAACCAAGAAATTCAGTCGTATGATTTTGGCGGCTCCAGGACTCAAATTTCTTTGCATACAGTGGTGGTTTACACAAAGGATAAAGTAACATCCCATTGCACTGTGTCTTTAAATTTATCTCACAACGCTGGAGCCATTTGGGCACATTTACAGCCTATCCTCTTAGGATTGCCATCCTCTGTAGAAAACCTGCATTTTTTTTAGTGACGGTCCTGTAACCCAATATAGAAATAAAACAATGTTTTATATTTTGGGTTGCAGAATCCAACATTTCTATCCACTTGCTATAAAATATACGTGGAATTTCCATGAGGCGGGACATGGGAAAGGGGCACCTGATGGAATTGGAGCTACATGCAAACGCTCTGCAGACCAACTCATAGCTCAGAGAGGTGGCATTACGAACTTGTACGACTTTGTAGCTGTGCTTCGAGAAAGGTGTCCAAATATAAATATCTCTGTTATCGAAGATGTCGACATAGAATAAGTTAACAAAATGATCAAGGAACATGAGAAAGAGCAGAAACCGTTTAAAGGAACTCTCTTGGTGCATCAAGTCTCGGGTCATATTTATAACCCTAATAAACTTGTCTTGAAGTTGCTTCTGTGATAATGACGGTTGTGACCATTATAGGTTGGGGACTATTACGTACCAAACCAATACACAGCGGCTTCAAGTTTCAGATATTTTCACAGATTCTGAAGATGATATGCCGTTAGCAAGTATGAGCCACATTGCTCAAGAAAAGTCAAACACGGCGGTGACGATTATGTTCTAGTTAAGTTAATAATGAGAGGAAAAGAATACCGATACGCCGCAGTTTGCTCAAAATATAATGACGAAGATGGAGAACTGACAGTTACATTTCTTAAAGTATGCAATAAAGATGGCACAGAATTTAAAATAAATGATAATGATATCGCCGACGTACCTTACGAAGAAGTTATAGAAAAACTGCCAGTTCCTAATATAATCGTCAAGAGAAATACAGTCCTTCACAAATTTAAAAAACCCATTAATGTCTACGAGAAGTAAAACAAATAGTGAAACAAATAAATAAGAGGTACTAGATAGTTTAAGTGCGAAATATTTGTGATCTCATAATAATTAATGAAAGTCTGAATGTTGTGTTCAAATTATAATTTGGTAACTCAAAACTTTAGAAAGCTGATTATTTAAAATAATTGTTAATTTTTAAAGGACTATTAGTTTGTAAGTATTAAACTCAAAGTATAATTTGATTGTTGAGAAATATTGATAGATTATTTTCAAGTGTATAATTAAAAAAATAAATCCTGTACTGTGATTATAAATCAAATTTGTGAACTTAAGAGATTATGTTGTTGTTACGGTTGATTTTGCAATAAAAAATGTGATTTGACATAATAACCGTGTTTGGTGTCAGTCCCTATCACTTGTCGTCAGTCCCTAGAACACTGATTTTAAAAAATCATAAATTTCTCTGAAAATATCAAGTAAAGTGACTGGCCCTTTTAGATGCAGCAAAGTAGATGTTATACCTACAGCATAGAATATAAGCTGTTCTGATTTTTAACTACAAACACCACCTTCAAAATTACATCAGAAGTTAACCAAATTTCAGATAACCACCCATATACATTTTTGAAAACAGAATAAAAATTCTATTCATGTGTGTCAAAATCCAATACGGCGTCTATAAGATGAAATTAATTGATGCTGGAGGACAAGAGACGAAACGTCAATTGAAATTCTAATCATGCCGTCTTGTAGGATGAAATGTAACAGAGTTGTAGTGCAATTTTTTTTTGAAATCCCACCACAAATAAATTGAAACTATTTTGGGAAATGTCGTTTTTCATGTCCCTTTCCGGAAGTACTTTCAATTTCAAAACCTTCTAAGCGATTATCTGAATACGCAACTTTGCCAATATTTAAACAACTTCGTATCCCTTAAAGCTTCTGAGATCTCAATGGTGGGGGTCGAATTTGAAATACTCTGTAAAGGGAAAATATTATTTACAGTTTTCGTTCGCTGCTCGTTACGGTTAGACGTGTTTTTAGTCGCTCTCGTTTTTTGGTCGTTTTTTGTAGTGTAAATAATGTATTGCAAAGTGGTGTTAGTGTGTTGAAAGGAATGTAAAATTGTACACAACTTCGTCCAACCTAAACCTTAAGCAAATTTAGAAGAAGAAATGAAAAAGAGGGGCCGAAGTAGTAGTACCCTTATCACACTTAACTTACAAAAAGAGGAGATAAATAAAATAATCCTTGGCAGTGAACATGTTCCCAATAAAAAAACAAGAGAGATAAAAGTTGGTGCAAAAAGGTGTGTTACTAACGAAATGGTAAGAGTGCATGAAAGAAATCTACAAGCTGATAACACAAAATCAGATAACAAAAGTGATACAACGTATACTAAGTGACATATAAATCCGAACACCCAGTTTAAGTGGTTTTATTTTAATAAAAGTTGGTGAATGTATTTATCTTACGGTAAATAACAAGTGAAAAAATTTTCAGCCTTATCAGTTGGACATTCCGGTTTTTATACTGCTTTTTTTTAATTCGCTAACGCTCTAAAAATGAATATTTCAGTCGCAGTAAAGAATCAACGTTGGCGGATTTTGGTTCTTGACATCCTTTACGATCGGTTACGATGCCTAGAGTACGGAGACCTGTACGATTTCGTCAACTTAGTGAGTTTGATAGGGGCCGTATAGTGGGACTTCGGGAAGCTGGACTTTCTTTTCGGGCAATTGCAGTTAGAGTGCAAAGAAGTGTAGACACTGTGGTTAGGTGTTGTCAGGCATGGCTTCGAGAAGGCCGTACGCAAAGAGCAAGGGGCACTGGACGCCGCCGTAGAACAACAGACCGTGAAGATCGCCGCCTAAGATTATTGGCCTTAAGGGACCGTTTCTTCACTACCAGGTCCATTGCAAATGAATGGTTTGCAGAACACGGAAGACCTATTGGCATGCGAAGTGTTTACCGACGAATGAGAAGTTTGGCTTGTTTTCATACCGGCCACATTGGCTCCTCCCTTTAACTCGAGAACACCGACGTAATCGCCTTGAGTGGTGCAGACAACGGTCACTCTGGGATCAGGAATGGGACAGTATTGTCTTTAGTGACGAGTCTCGATTTTGTTTGGGCATGCACGATGATCGTGCCAGGGTTAGAAGGCGACGTGGTGAAAGGAGGAATCCACAGTTTTTTGTTGAAAGACATGTTCATCACAGTGTTGGAGTTATGGTTTGGGGTGCTATAGCTTATGGTTCCAGGTCACCTTTAATCTTCATCAGAGGTAACATGAACGCGCAGCGTTATATCCACGAAGTTCTAGAACCCCATAATTTACCCTATCTTGACACCCTGGCAGATCCAACTTTCCAACAAGATAATGCCCGACCACATGTTGCAAGAGTCACAATAGACTTCTTTCAACATAATGATGTCACATTGTTACCATGGCCACCAAGATCTCCCGACTTATCCCCAATTGAGCACGTGTGGTATATGATGGGTAGGAGATTGCTCAATTTGCAATGTCCTCCTCAGACTCTAGAAGCACTTCGAGAGGAGTTGGTGGTTGCCTGGAATGAGATACCACAGGAGGACATTGACCACCTGATCAGAGGCATGCCTAGGCGCGTTGGAGAATGCGTAGCACATCAGGGTGCATCCACACATTATTAAAGGTCAAAGGGCTTTAAAGCAGTGCAATCATTTTGAAATTTTTATCATTTACTTATTATGCTTCATTAAGTACTTATACAAAATTTTATTAAAATAAAACCATTTAAACTGGGTGTTCGGATTTATATGTCAATTAGTATATAATGTTGACGCAATATTCATACCAAAATCTTCAATTTCTCGTAACCCACCTAAAGTAAGCCAAGAATACCATAGAAGCCACGCGGACATTCTTACAGAACACTACCCTAACATTCAAAAAGGTAAAAGACCCAGATCGCAATCTAGTCCAGGGGCAGAAAATGTTAGTAAAAGGCTGTGTCATGAAGTGAAAAACTGTATGACGGAAGAATTAATTCAAAACGTTTTTAATGAAATTGATACCATAAGCAGGCGCATCGATAGAGACATGGTGCTTACTCTTTTCAACACACAGGATAAAACAAGCATCGTACAAGCCACTAGGAACATACAAAAATTACTGACACAAGTTGTGTACAAAGTCAGTCATCTAGAAAATGAGAATGTACCGTTAGCAGCTAGAATAGAAAACAGCCAGCCAAATATACACGCACAGATTCTAGTGGAACGTGCAAGGAAAACAAAAGACTAGTAGATCTGAAATAGTACAACCAAGAAGTTATGGCAGTATTGTAGGTGGAAAGACAGTAAGTAGAACAAAAGAATCAATAAGCAAAGTGGAAGAACCATGGACGACTCCACCAGAAAATCGGAAACTTGTGTCAATCATGAGAGTGGAAAAAACAGAAAATCCTAGGGTGGTCCTAAGTAGACTTAAACAAGAGTTGACGCAAAAGGATGCTGAAGGAGGCTTCAAAAATATTAGACAATTACAATCAGGGGCAGTAATAGTAGAAAGCCACACTGAAAGCCAACAACAGAAACTGAAAAATATATTGAAAGATAAGAACGACATAACAATCAAAACATCAGATGGAATCGATAATATGTTCATGGTCACAGGAATTGAAAAAGGATACGAGGCAAAAGAATTCATAGTTGAAGTCATAAGGCTGACTAATGAAATTGAAGCTGAATTAAACTATAGTGTTACAGATAAAATCAAGGTCGTTACAAAGAAGAACTGCCGTAATCCACATAGAGAAAACTTTTTTTTTACAAGCACCGCCCGAAATTGCTAAGTGGTTCTTAGAAGGTTGTCAGATAAACTTCGATTTGGTAAGGGTTTATGTTAAAGAAGACATTAATTTGGCAATCTGTTTTAAATGCTCAAGTTTTGGACACATTGCTAAGTACTGCAAACAGCAAACATGTTGCTACACATGTTCATGTAACCATGAAGCCACCAGCTGTCAGGAACATGATCTTAAATGTGTAAATTGCCGAAAAATGAAATATAGTGACCTCAATTACTCTGCACGAGACCCAAAATGTCCAGTCTACACATCGAGAATTAGGAAGTTTGGAAATAAGATCAATTACAGCCAGGATTTTCAAACATAAACAGGGAACAAATTGATGCTGATGAGTCTGACACCTATGGCTCTTTCAAGCAAATGGAGGAATACAACAGAATAGCTCTACTCCATCAAAACGTCCAGTCGCTTGGAAACTCAATAAATGAGGTAAACCAGATGATAGCAAATAATAGTGACTGTAAATTAATTTGCATCACTGAACACTGGAAGAGTCAAAACCAAATTATCAACTATGCAATTAGGAACTTCAAGTTAGCATCGTATTTTTGCAGAAAACTAGGGAAGCATGGTGGGAGTGCAGTTTATGTGAGGGTGGGAGTTCAGTGCTCGGAAAGGTTAGATATAAAATCATTATCTGTGGAAGGTTCCCTTGAGTGTGCTGCAGTAAAATGTTCCTTATATGGGTTTAATTTCATAATGTTGTCAATATATAGACCACCATCTGGTAATAAGCATGTGTTTTTAGAAAAAATGGAACGAATTCTACTGAAAATCCGCGATGACAGTGCTACAATTTTCATAGCCGGTGATTTCAATATAGATTTTTCTCAGGAAAGTCTGAACAAACAACTCTTATGTTCACTTTTAAATTCATATGATTTACATCAAACTATATTCCAATACACACGCATAACATCCACCAGTGGAACTTGTATTGACAATATTTTCACCAATACCTCAACTTATGTATCCAATGTCATTAATTCATTAATCTCAGATCACACTGCTCAAAAAATAACAATGAAGGTTAATAGGAACAATCTTGGTGATGTTATACAGAAAAGGATATTCAGTTCAGAAAATAAAGAATTTTTTTAACTAGCCTCAGATCTATAAACTGGCAAAATTTACTTCAAATTCCTCAGAATGATGTAAACAAACAATGGAATTATTTTAGTAGTATATTTCAATCTATTTTTGATCAATCGTTTCCCCTGAAAACAGTAAAAGTGCCAAAAAGGCTCCCTAACCCAAATCAGGAAACGGATAATAATATACTAAGTGACATATAAATCCGTACACCCAGTTTAAATGGTTTTATTTTAATGAAAGTTGGTGAATGTATTTATCTTACTGTAAATAACAAGTGAAAAAATTTTCAGCCTTATCAGTTGAACATTCCGGTTTTTATACTGCTTTTTTTTAATTCACTAACGCTCTAAAAATGAATATTTCAGCCGCAGTAAAGAATCAACCTTGGCGGATTTTGGTTCTTGACATCCTTTACGATCGGTTACGATGCCTAGAGCACGGAGACCTGTACGATTTCGTCAACTTAGTGAGTTTGATAGTGGCCGTATAGTGGGACTTCGGGAAGCTGGACTTTCTTTTCGGGCAATTGCAGTTAGAATGCAGAGAAGTGTAGACACTGTGGTTAGGTGTTGCCAGGCATGGCTTTGAGAAGGCCGTACGAAAGAGCAAGGGGCACTGGACGCCGCCGTAGAACAACAGACCGTGAAGATCGCCGCCTAAGATTATTGGGCTTAAGGGACCGTTTCTCCACTACCAGGTCCATTGCAAATGAATGGTTTGCAGAACACGGAAGACCTATTGGCATGCGAAGTGTTTACCGACGAATGAGAAGTTTTGGCTTGTTTTCATACCGGCCACACTGGATCCTCCCTTTAACTCGAGAACACCGACGTAATCGCCTTGAGTGGTGCAGACAACGGTCACTCTGGGATCAGGAATGGAACAGTATTGTCTTTAGTGACGAGTCTCGATTTTGTTTAGGCATGCACGATGGTCGTGCCAGGGTTAGAAGGCGACGTGGTGAAAGGAGGAATCCACAGTTTTTTGTTGAAAGACATGTTCATCACACTGTTGGAGTTATGGTTTGGGGTGCTATAGCTTATGGTTCCAGGTCACCTTTAATCTTCATCAGAGCTAACATGAACGTGCAGCGTTATATCCACGAAGTTCTAGAACCACATCTTTTACCCTATCTTAACACCCTGGCAGATCCAACTTTCCAAAAAGATAATGCCCGACCACATGTTGCAAGAGTCACAATAGACTTCTTTCAACATAATGATGTCACATTGTTACCATGGCCACCAAGATCTCCCGACTTATCCCCAATTGAGCACGTGTGGGATATGATGGGTAGGAGATTGCTCAATTTGCAACGTCCTCCGCAGACTCTAGAAGCACTTCGAGAGGAGTTGGTGGTTGCCTGGAATGAGATACCACAGGAGGACATTGACCACCTGATCAGAAGCATGCCTAGGCGCGTTGGAGAATGCGTAGCAGATCAGTGTGCATCCACACATTATGAAAGGTCAAAGGGCATTAAAGCAGTGCAATCATTTTGAAATTTTTATCATTTACTTATTATGCTTCATTAAGTACTTACACAAAATTTTATTAAAATAAAACCATTTAAACTGGGTGTTCGGATTTATATATCACTTAGTATATTAAGAATTGTAGGGACCGACTGGATGTTTTATATGTTATAAGCAACAGTGACAATTACTATAAACCATGCTATAACAAAGTCAGAAGAGAGTACAATCTATTGTTAACTAATGCCCGATATAAGTCATATCAAAGATGTATACAAGAGTCAGATAATAAATCAAAATGTGTGTGGAGTATAGTAAAGGAAATAAAAGGTCAAAATAGAGATGACTGTGGTACTCCAGGTGATCCTGAAGTTATAGCAAATGTTTTCAATGAATACTGTATTAATGAAGTAATTAACTCTTCTGACTTTTTAGACCATGTGCAAGAGTGTATGCCACTAGAATATGTTACTGCTCTAGAACTAGCAGAACTGGGCAAAAAACTTAAAAATAAAATGAGTAGTGGTAATGATGGCATTCCAGCTAGTATTTTGAAATATTGCTTAGTAGTAATTCTGGAACCTTTGGTTCACATAAAAACTCGCTTAAGTACGCTATTTTCCCTGAAAAATTTAAATTAGCTATAATTATACCTACATATAAAAAAGGAGATCCTAGTGACTTGCTAAATTATAGGCCAATAAGCTTACTTTCTTGTTTTGCAAAGCTTTTTGAGTTAGTGATGTATTCAAGAATTATGAATCATATGATATGTAACAACTTAATTGCAGAGTCACATCATGGGTTTGTAAACGGGAAATCCATCAACACGGCGATCTATTCTTTCAGCCACAACACCTTAGAATGACTTGAAAATAATATGACATAGCTGGGTCTGTTTTTTGATCTCACCAAAGCTTATGATTGTGTGGATCATTCTCTACTATTGAATAAACTCGAGGCATACGGGATAAGGGGAAGTGCGTGCAACTGGATTAAGTCTTATCTGACAGATCGTAAGCAAAAAGTTTTCATTACAAGGAATGAAATATCAGCCGTTTCATCACAGTTAACGGTAGAAAGATATTCCACAAGGTAGCGTCTTAGAACCTCTCCTCTTTTTGATTTTTTTATGCACGATTCAATACGCTGATGACACTAGTGAACTAGTCGCTGGCCAAGATTTCAACCATTTAGCTGATAGTACTTTGAGCCTCTGCAAGAAAGCATTTTTGTGGTTTGCTCGTAATGGATTATCTCTGAATACCTTAAAACAAATGCGATTGTTTTTAAGTTAAGAGAAAAATCGAAGCTACAAACATCACCTTAGCAGAAAGAATAGAAGTCCCTCTGACAGACTGTGGAAAATTCTTGGGAGTTCATATTGACCAAGCACTTTCCTGGGCTAAACATATAGAACATCTAGAAACAAGGTTAAACAATGCATGTTATAGTATTAGAGTACTAAGCAAGTATCTAGACCTCAAGACTCTAAAAATGGTATATTACGCGAATTTTGAATCCATTGTACGTTTTGGCATAATTTTTTTCGGACATAGTAGCCATATCAATAGGATCTTTCTAGTGCAAAGGCGAGTGCTGAGGTGCGTCCTAAAAATTTCCTCTAGAAAGACTTGCAGAGGAAAATTTAAGAGTAATAAAATTTTAACTGTAGCCGCAATATATATTCAAAAGGTTCTAATTTTTACATTTAAAAATATTAACAATTTTATCGGTAATCCACAAAGTGACTATAACACAAGAAATAGTAATATAAATCTTCTGTATCCAGTCCATCATCTCACGGTTACCGAAAAAAATGTCCATTACAGCTGCACTAAAATATACAGGGTGACTTTGAAGTTGAGTCATTAATTTTCAGATAATGATTGTAGAAGGAAGATAAACCAAACTACGTGTGTAAAAATAAAAAAAAAATTATAAAAAAAATTTTACCTTGTTTTATAAAGTATCCTCCCGACAAGTATTTCAGTGCGGACCTGTATTTGATCGTGAGGTCTTGGAGCACCGGCATGCCGTCCCCTGTGAGGTCTTAAGTCACCTGATTCACAAGCCCGTTGTACTACATTAACAAAGGCACGAGGGGTTGGTTGCACTCGATTGGGAAACCGATCCGCATAAACATGTGCCATTTTTATTTCGTTTGAGCCACGCAACAGACACCACTATTCACTCACGCGTTACCGACTGACACTGACTGTATACAACTGAATGAAGTAATTCTAAAAACATCGTTCCAAATTCTTTCGCTTTTTTGTTTCCGATGCGATGAACCGATAAGGCGGATTATATCCGTTGTCGCCAAACACGAGCACATAATATTATTATTGAGACAGGGCGGTACTCAAACTTCCAAAGGGCTATAACTTTGTTACTTTAATTTTACCAGAAAAATGGCAAAAGAAAAAAACATTTCTTTTGATCAGATCTACTCACTGTTAAAATAAATGACTCAACTTCGAAGTAATAAGTGACCACAAGAAATTAAAAGGTTGGCAGATATAAAAGAATATAAAAAGAGTTTTTTTTATCAATTTTTAATGCACTTAGAACCATATGACCTTCAAGAATATTTTGAAATGAAATATCTCTATTGTGTTATATGTTTTGCCTCTTTGTTTTTTCTGTCTTGATGACACTGTGACGTATATTTCACCTAACAGTGTGTAATACATTGTAATCATGCACTGTTATTTTGAAGTAAATATTTATTATTATTATTATTATTATTTTCACCCAAGCAGAAACAGTCGGCCACTCCCTCTCCGTGGGCACCCGTGAAAAACAGCTGTATCACAAAATCTCCGGAATTCGTTATTTTGTTTTTTTTTCATCAGCTTTGGTTTGGACATGTATGATAACTATGACAAGAACAAAAAATGTATTTCCAAAAATCGATTCGGTTTAGACTTTTCATAGTTATGTGGAAAACAAAAAACGCAGATTGTTCCCAAAATTCTTGTTTATATGTATTCGATTTGTGTTGAGTTGAAATTAAAAAAAAGAGTGCAAATATCGTTTTTTGATGCTACCAACATTCCGGCCACAATTCAAAAGCTTGAAATCAATGGCGTCAAGTGAATTGACTATGTATTCACCAATACACAATTGTTTGCATCGTCACCATGTGATTATGTCTTCGACTGATACCAAAGATGTAACATTTGCTACCTTCATCCCACATTTTTTACCCCCTAAATAGCATTTCTTCGTCGTCGGCATAGTAGTAACCTTGTGTGAAAATTCCATCAAAATCCAAGTTATAGCGAGGCCAAGGATCAGCTGATAGACAGACCGACAAACAGACTGACTGACAGAAATGAGTGGCATGGCTTTTCATGATGTACATATCATGTAATATCAAAAAATTATGATATATCACTTTTGAACTTAATTAGCGTAACATGAAAGTAAAAATTTCCGGTGATCTATTTATAATGAGGTAAAGGTATACTTTATCTGAAGTCACTTGAAATAGCATAAAAACCTTTGGTCGGCGCGTCCTTTGTA